CGGCCCCGCACCCCCGCCCCCGTTCCCAGCCATTCCCGGCCCTGCACCCCGTTCGGCCCCGCTGCCGGCCCTGTGCCCAGGCCCACCCCGGGCTCACCAGGGGAGGGTGTAGCCCCGGGGGGGGATCCGAGGTGGGGCCAAAACTGCATTTTCGCAGTTAGGCCCGGGGGGTGCAGGCTTTCGTTGCGCACCCCCCAATAATTTATTTTTTTTTTTGGGGGGGGGGGTCCAGAGCCAGGGCCAGGGGTGCCCACTCCCGGACCCCCAGACCCCCGCAGCCCCGCCGGGGCCCCGGGGCCGGGGCTCGACAACCCTGATGCTACGTGTTAGGGGCTGATCCGACTACTGCTACGGAGCGTAGTCTACTAGGTTTCACAGGATCTGACTACTTTCCAAGTTTGCAGGTCTTCCCGCTGAGTTCGGGAGGTAGTGAAAACAAATGTGTACATGGCAGGTTTTCTGCAACCGCAAAAAAGATCTTCACCGTCCCTCGTGGTCGTGAATACTGTGTGACACGCAGTACCAATAGGGCGGGCCATTGGGATTCTACCGTGCCTACCTGAACGGGAGAAAGTTGGCTGTCAAAGTGAACCCATAGGTCGTCCACGGGTAATGGCCCTGCATGCCCCACCCACGAATACCCGCCACGAACTTCGAAAAAGTCCCGCCCCAACAAGGCAAGTGAGATGCAATTTCGCTCCTTCGGTCCGACCGGCCTGGGACCGAACAACGTGGTTCTTTTTGGTTCCCCATAAAGAGTAGTAGTCGGACCGGCCCCTTAGGGGCCGAACCGCTACCAGAGATCCGAGAGAACGTCTGGTCACCGTGAGCTCGTTGTGCTCTCTCATCTTTCGTTCTACCAACGGGGTTGATTGGCATGGTCGGTGGCATTTGGAGTTCCTACCTAAAAGGTCAGGTCGCTGCTTGGAATGTTGGATCCTGAACAGGTCTCTAACGAGCTGGTGGTTCAAGTGTGTTGGGTGTGTTTGAGGGTGTTTTCAGCTTGAGGCATTCCAGAGCACAGAGCATCGGAGCTCAGGGTTGTAATGAGTTCATGAATGTTGAATTTGTGTTCTTTCTCTATGTTTAACCACCAGTACCCAGGGAACGGGTAGCACTCCGTTTAAGAACTGGCTGCACTTACTGATGGTATCGCTGTTTAGAGACTGTGGCGCTTTGCATCCGCAGCAAGGCGTAGGATTCGCTGTGGGGGGGCAAAGCTATGGGGTACTCAGTACTCTTCGAGACTGTGGCGCTTTGCGTCCGCAGCAAGGCGCAAGATTCGGTGCCGAGGGGCAGAGCTATGGGGTACTCCGTAGTCTCTAGGTCTGGCCATCCCCATCAGCCTCGATGGGGCTGTGTCTCCCTGTGGAAAACCAGGGACCAGGATGATTCCAATTTCCCCTACAAGCCAACTTTCAGAATGCAAGTGATTTCAACTATATGAAGAAGGGAAAGTGGGTCTGGTGAGTGACGAAAGGCAAGTCCGACAACATCGCTTCCTGAAGCAGTGGGAGGGTAACTGGGAATGGTGGGATGATTGTTGTGAGGAGGATGTGCTAACTAGTCATGACAATCTCAACCGGGAGCATGAAGACCTGGAGTGTGCGACTTGAAGCTCGACGGGGGCAGTACCACCTTTGGGAGTGGGAGATTCATTACTGGCGGTGGGAGCATTTCCAGTAGTGCGAAAGGCACGGAGCATTAACTTTGACTGGGTGAAACCACGACGCTGTACGTGGAGACACTCACTCTATTTAGACATTCTTGCTCTAGTTTCATCGACTCCTTTTGTCTTGGGCTTTCATTGACCGCAAATTTGGAATTCCCTTTCATCTCTTCTCTATGCCATGTGTGTTATTGTCTCTGTTTTTGGTCTTAATCTTGGTCGTATTCATTGGCTTATTTGTTTGTTTTGTTTCCAACAGTCTGTATGCAGTCCTTTTCCTAGTTTGTTTTCTCCACCTTTCTCTAGCCCTACACATGTACTCTCGTGCAGCGTGTTAGCCCCAAAACTTGCGTATTAGTATCTACTAATACTTAAAGACAAAAGCGGTCCTCGGAAGACGCCTCCCGTGGGCCCAGGGAAAACGAGTCCCGCATGTCGATCGAATGGGACAGACGTTTTTTTCCCGTTCGGCGTTTTTGTTTCGGGTCTGGGCTGGGTCGCGGGTTCGAGACCGCAGGATATTTTGTCGGTTTTTTTTTTGTGCCAGGCCGTGGGTTCGATGTGGCAGTTTCGCAGTGTTTTTTTTCGCGCTCCCGCCCACGGCTTCGACGTTCCCGCCCACCGCTTCGACGTTGTTGCGGTGCTTTTCACAGGCTATCACCGCATGGAGTTGCGCGTTTGGAGTCGCGAGGTTGGAGACTTACCTGCTCTCTCTCTCTCTCTCTCTCTCTCTCTCTCTCTCTCTCTCTCTCTCTCTCTCTCTCTCTGTGTGTGTGTGTGTGTGTGTGTGTGTGTGT